TGTTGTAAAAAGCCATAAATACAGTATCTCTGTCCAGTCCCTCTTTTGGTGCTCAACATTTTCTGGGACCTCCATCTAGCGCTCCCAGCTTCCCATCCTCTGTGCTCTGGAAATGCAGATAGTCACATCATGGGAGCAGAAGAAGGGAAAGGGTTTCCTGTACCCAACACACTTGTGCTGGAGCAGTTATGCTGTGATTTGGCCCAAAATACATACAAAAGGAGTTTCAGCTATTACTATGGTGTGTGTTCAAACAGCCGGGGTGTCCCAGTGCAGATGAACCTCTGTCCTTTACCATTCATATGGATCTCTTATTGCTGTGTGGAGAATGGAAGTCCAGCTTCATGAAGGATTTTGAGATTTCGAAATCTGGTTTAGTTCCGAATGGAACTGAAACCAGAACATTTCAGAATTCTCTGTGAGGGAAAAATCCAAATGATAGTTTGTTTCAGTTTTGACTCTGTAAAACTTTGTATTATAATGTATATGAATACAAAATTTAAAAAATTCAAAATGTTCTGAAAATATTGACATGGGACATTTTGACATTGTCAATTTTTTTTTTCTGGTTTTCTTCCAAAATTAAATTCCAACAAAACTGACCCAATTTTGTGAAGCATTTTGATTTTGATTGAATGGCATATTCTGAGGAATATGGTTCTGTCAAAGTTTCTTCAATCCACTCTAACGGAAAATCTTCCTTCTACCCACTACCATAGTCACAAAGGATGAAGAAAGAATTGAAGAGTGAAGCTATATAAATTACGCAAAAAATGTGAGAGAAACCTTTCGAGACAAATATAGAAGGCTAAAATCAGGCTAGTCAACTCTACTCTCTTCTTTCCTAAACTTATCTTGCTTTGTTATGGAAGCTGTGGTGCACTGGAAGATTCAGTGGTTCTAGCCTTAACTTTAATTTGTGTTGTGTTTCATTTGGCCTTGGGGATGATACAAACTTACCTGAATGACTATGATATTCTTTAGACATTATCTCTACCCTGCATCCCATATTTATACAGAAATTAATAAGATATTGCCACGGTCCTACCAAATTCATGGCTATGAAAAATACGTCACGGACCGTGAAATCTGGTCTCCCCCATAAAATCTGGTCTTTTGTGTGCTTTTACTCTAGACCAGTGTTTCCCAAACTTGGGACGCTGCTTGTTCAGGGAAAGCCCCTGGCGGGCCCTGCCGGTTTGTTTAGCTGCCGCTTCAGCAGGTTCGGCCGATCGCGGCTTCCACTGCCCGTGGTTTGCTGTGCCTGGCCAATGGGGGCTGTGGGAAGCGGCGGCCAGTATGTCCCTTGGCCCGCGCCTCTTCCTGCAGCCCCCATTGGCCGGGCACAGCGAACCATGGCCAGTGGGAGCCACGATAGGCCGAACCTGTGGACGCAGCCGGTAAACCGGCCTGGCCTGCCAGGGGCTTTCCCTGCACAAGTGGTGTCCCAAGTTTGGGAAACACTGCCCTATACTATACAGATTTCATGGGGAGACCAGCGTTTCTCAGATTGAGGGGCCTGTCCCAAAAGAGAGTTGAAGGGGGGTCACAAGGTTATTTTAGTATTGCCACCCTAACTTCTGCGCTGCCTTCAGATCTGAGCAGCTGGAGAGCGGCAGCTGTTAGCCAGGCCCCCAGCTCTGAAGGTGGCACCCTGCCAGCTGCAGTGCAGAAGTAAGGGTGGCAGTACCATACCCTGCCATCCTTACTTCTGCGCTGCTGCTCGCAGCAGTTCTGCCTTCAGAGCTGGGCTCCCGGCCAGCAGCTGCTGCTCTCCAGCTGCCCAGCTCTGAAGGCAGCACAGAAGTAAGAGTAGCAGTACCACAACTCACCCCTTACAATAATCTTGCAATCCCCCCACAACTCCTTTAGGGATCAGGACCCCTAAAATTACACCACCATGACATTTCAGATTTTAAGAGCTGAAATCATGAAATTTATTATTTTTACGATTTTTAAAATCTTATGACCGTGAAATGGACCAAAACAGATTGTGAATTTGGTAGGGCCCTAGATACTGCTAATGCTAACCTGGATGCCCACTTGAGAAGTTAATATTTTTATGTTAATGTGTGCAGGAAAAGGTGCATCCAACGGCAGCATCTGGATTTTTTTTTTCTTTCAAGCATTTAACTATTTTTTTTATTGAACTGATGTGAAATTACATGAGCTCTGATCATGTGAATAATGCATGAGTTTTTCGACAAACACGATACAAGCTTATTTTTCATGTCAAACAATTCTTTATTTTTTATGGTACAAATTAAAAGTGACAGATCTGAAGCTGTTAAGAAATACACAAAGTGCAGCTTTACTGACCATACAGATATTGCTCTAGATTAAGTACAGTTTTTGTCAGTTTTTTTTAAAATGTTAAGCAACCTGTGCAGATAAATCAGCTTTGGTTTCAAAGTCAGAGCAGTAAGGAGCTTTTAAATATCCAGTTTGGCTTCTTGGTCACAAGTCCATCAAATCAACTCCTTTTTAAATTATTCTTTTTTAAATAACACAATACAGTCCATTTCGTACTGCCATCTTTCCTGCTGCATGCTCCATGCATGGAAAAGCAGATCTCTTTGCAGTGCTTCATAAGTGACCCTGGTGACCATTCTGTAGATTATAGCACATAGGACAAAAAAAGAAATAGTAATATCACTTTTTTTTTTAACAATAAATAAACTAATGTGCCCCACATAATCTCAAGTTGGAAACAAGCAAACCACATGACAAAAAGCTCATTACAAAATGTTATCCAAACAGATTTTACAGTCAAACATTGACATGGAAATCGATTTCCTCTCTTATTTTATTTCTTATTTGAATGGTGGTCATTAACTGGGTACAAGTAGAGTGCTGAGGTAAAACACTGATGAACAGTTTTATTTCTGTATTTCTTTTTTTTTTAAATAGTAACAGTTTAGTATTGCGAGATTGTCAGCAACATTTAGCCATATCTATACAATGTGCATATACCTACATACATTGAGCTTTGGTCCAGCATTGAGAAGACGAGCAAAGGCATTTTACATATTTCTTTTTGGTTATAGCTTGAGTTCTTTGATACGCCTCTACTTGTTCCTTCCTAGCTCCTTTTTGCTTTCTTGTTCTCTCTTTCTCTCTTTTTGTTTTCTTTTTTTCAGTTATAACATAAAGAAACCGGAACGTTTTGAAAGCATTTGATTTTTTAAACTGTTCAAAATAGTTTTTAGTGGAAAACATAAAAAGACAAAAACAGAACAAAAATTTTACTTGTGGTTCATTAGTCAAATAATTATGTTTTTTTAAAAAAATCTCCTTTTAAACAAATTGTAAAACCGATATGCAATCATACATTGCTAGAGAGTCTCTTGTTTCATTTGTTGGTAGCAGCCTACCTTTTTGTCACATGGAAACTTAAAAGGTATTTGAATGTAATTGATATATGAAATTTGTTTACAAATGGAAATGTAGCCAGTAACAAACTAAAACAAAAAGATTTATGAGACGCGCATCATTTATCTCCTAAGAATCTGTTCAGGCACCATATATGCCTTATAGCAAAAATCTGTTCATTAAAAAAATTAATACAAGAAGCATTACAATACCTTATAAATAATTTACAAAACATAATACAAAATTAGAAAGCTGTAAAAAAAAAAAATCACCGCATATGAATGGTTTTAAGACTGTGGGATGAGCTTCATTTTTTTGTTCCAAACTGGCAATTTGTATTTATTTTACATTTTCACTGTCCTAGTTATATCCTTCCAGTATGTACTTTTGAACAGACCAGACCTTATATAACTGCTTTATATTTTTAAACATTTAGCATCCTTTATGTGATGTTTGGTTAACTTTCCTTCTCAGGGAATTTTTCTTTGCAGAATTTAGAGCAGTTCCTGGGAGATATGAACTCTAGTTTTTTGATAGAGCAAGGATAACAATTTTGGTCCCAGGGCTGTTGATTTTGTATGTGTGTGTGGAGTTTCAGAGGTGGTGGAATGGGTGATCACATTGCTGGTATTAATGACTGGACAAGCTGTAGTCCAATTAGTTGCATACTGAAGAGATGGGTAGGATTTTATGAGCATCCACTTCCAAACACTGTCTATTCTTCATAGTTTCCAAGCTGGTCTCCTGATCATTATATAAATTCAGTTGCAGCCACAAATATACATACCACAACTTTACCTTAATTAGCTAACTAGCTATATAGGTGTGCTTGAGGAAGAGAAAAGAAGAAGAAAAAGAAGAAGCAGACCCAGAGGGGCAGATGTTGCTATGAAGTTATTTCGCTCATCACTTCGAATACACAGCTTGGATTAGGGATTTTTATTTTCTGTTTCCCCTTACAAAATTTACCTGCACTTATTAGTAGGATTTTATTTTTCACAGATATTTACATTTCAACAGCAGGGAAAGTGACTATTCTTTCCCCCCTCAGAAAAAAGAACAACAAAAAAATATCCTTATACACCCTGCTGAAGTTTAAAGCCTAAAAAGTATTCACTAGAATGAGTCCAACCTGGGACAGTGGATCCACATCACTCTTCTCCTTTGAGCAGCTCAGATCTGGATGCCATGCCACACATGGAAGGGGATCTCTGGAGACTTAAAATTCCATGGGCCCTGCAGAGATTTTCTCATACTACAGGGTGAATTCCATTAATAAAGCATAGAGAGTGAGATCCAAAGCCCATTGAAGTCAATGGGAGTCTTTCTATTGCTTTCAGTGGCTTTTGGATCAGGCCCTCCATTCTTGAAAAAAATAATTCTGCAGGTGTAATTTGAAGGTTCCAGAGTTCTGGGACTGATTCAGATCCCATTTAGACTCTCAAAAATCCAGACCAACTCTACTGAAGTCAGTGGAGTTAACTGGGATTTATACCAGCATAACTGAGAGCAGAATTTTACTCTACATCTGTACAATAGACTGAACCTAATTCCCAGATGTGAACTTTTGGAAAGTCCAGATCAGGATGTGGTCTTTACCTTTACAATAGCCCAACCCACAACCCTGGATCAGAATTTCAAGGAAGTTTGGATCTATATATGAGTTTTTCAGGTGAGGTTCACACCACACCCTTTTCCTTCTCTGAGCCTTGATATATTTTTTGATCCAATGACCACAGAGTTTTAGAAGATGCCAAGTCCATCAGGAAATGAAGCCACAGAGTGAGATAAGTTGCCTTTCAAAAAATTTTTTTTTCAGATGAAAAATGTGACAAGTGACCCCCCTCCCCCATTCCCAAAGGATATTTAATGCATTGTTCCCAAATCCTGATTGTTTAGGTTTTTTAGCCTGCCATGGCAGTATGCACCCACACAAACCCACACACATTCCAAGAGTAGCAGTTGATAGGGAAAACGTCGGTGCCAGGAGGAAAAAGGAGAGAAAAAAAAAAAGAACGGCAGAAAAGATAAAAGTAGTAAAACAGTCCATAAGGGTGTAATGATCAAAATGTCCTCATTACTTCTTGACCTGTCCTTTTGTTTGTTTTCATCGGACTCTCACGAAACTTCTTTGGCTAGCAGACTTTGGAGAGAAATTGCTTCACACAGAACCGTAACATAGATGCAGTATCAAACCAAGTGTGCAGTTTATATTACAAAATTAGTTTTGGTAACCTCTCCAGGTTCATGGCCAAAGGACAGAGAAATCAGGAGCCATGCTGTTGACAATGAGCACAACGTTGAGCGTGTGTGCTACACTGATAGTTCCTCAGACATAATTCTAATCCTTCTTTGTCCTCTATTGCATTTCAACATAATCTATATAAAAGTGTTTAGGTTTCACTTTTCTTTTAAAAATCTTTAAACAGTATTGGGAAAAGAGGGAGGGGGCAGGAAATGTGTTAGACAAATCAAAATAGAAACCAATACTTTACACTTTCAGGGGAAAAATACTGAACTCCACAATTCACAATAAAAAGAAAGTCATTTTGGCACACAAACACTTGGAGATTGCAAAACTGTGCAGATAAAAAAAAGGTGTGTGTGTGTGTATGTGTGTTTGTGAGCACTATGGAATGGCTTTAACATCTGTTATATCCACCTGTAGGGGGTGTGACAAGGGTGGGAGAAATTAATCGTACTATTTTTTTTCCTCTTTGTAAAGTACAAATGTAAAAACTCATAACACAATTTTAAGCTTGTAAAAGAGTAGACTAACAATCTAGTTTGCAATGCCATGTTTCTGACTTTGGTTAATAGTTTTCATAGTGAATCAGCACTTGATACCTGAAAGGCTACAATCACTCCTCCAGGTGGCAGGCTTGTATTCTCTTTTAAACAGATAAAAGGTTTTTTTTTTTTTTTTTTCTTTTCCTTAAAACATATTCACATTTTCATAATTCACAGAAAAAAAGTAAGCAGTTATTTGGTTTGCTTTAAGTCCATTTAAAAAACTGGCTTTTTTGGGTAGGTGGGGGGAGCTAATTCTACAACACACACACAGACTAAGTGCTGTGTATTTTGTTTGTTTTTGTTTGGTGGTTTTTTTGTTTTGTTTTTTGTTTTTATATAGGAAAACCCACGGACATTTATAAACTATTCTGTCCATCTTGTAGTTTTCTCAGTCTTTTACTTACAAGGGTGATGAATGGGCATTTTCAGAGTCCAAATGGTTAATTTTTTGTTTGTGTGTTTCCTTTTTTTTTCTTTTTTTCTTTTTAGGAGTTTTCTTCGAGAGAGTCTGTTAAGGGCTCCATAGGGACTGCTGTCGCAGGCTCATGCTGTTTTAAACGTTTAATTGTGTTCTTCAGTGCTTGCCTCTTATTGCAGAACCAAACTCTAACTACTTCCCGGTCATAGTTCAGTTTCTCTGCAATCTCTGTCATTTCCTGCCCAGAGGGATGAGTGTTCTTCTCAAAGTGGGCATTCAAGATCTCAAGAGCTTGTGGCGTGAATGAGGTACGCCTCTTGCGCTTTTTGGATGGTTCGCTTCCGATAAACTCAGTCAGGTTCTGCATACCTGCTCGATGGCGGGCCTCAGCCTCAGCCATCCACCGCTCAAGCACCGGCTTTATCTTCTGGGCACTTTTAGGGGTGATGTCCAGCTTTTCAAACCTGGCAGGATACAAAAGGCCAGGGTTCAGTTTGGCTGTCAGACTGCTAGCTATAGTGTTCTCTTGGGCTTCCTGTGGTAGGAAAAAGTGGCTTCTCAGGATGGTGTGTCTGAGGGAAAATTGAGAAAGAAGAGTCTTACACTGATGCTCTGCCAGGGTGGGACTTCCTGCCTGCCTGACTAATTGACTGGCAGAGGTAATTTACAATGGATTACAACAGAAAGCCATCATATATCTAGGTATATACAGATAGATAGTTAAGCAAACACAAAACGAGCACTGTGACAAAATACCGAGAATTCAGTATGCTACATAATACAGGCTATAAAGTTCAGTTTTCGTAGTTCAAGATCAATTTTTCATGATCCTCAAATGCCTGAAGACTAAACCTAATTACAGGAAATGACATCAAAGGCAACTGATTCTTATTCACGATTAATTATCTTGTTTACCCTTCCATCCCATATTGTCCAAATGCCACAGCTTTAGTAATACAAAGCAACAGTGGCTGCTAGCCTCTGAATTTCAGATTTCTTTTCCCATTTTTTGAAAGCAATTTTCACTGTATGCAAGTTAACATCGTGTCCCTTCTCTGGGTAGGAAAAAAACCTCCCATAGCTACTGTAGTGTTCGGCTCAAGCAGCTGGACACATTGTAATTATCTTGAATGCCCGCACAATGTGCTAAAACAGACTCATGCCTTTCGGATGAAACCCAGCATAATAGTGCACTAATCTGCTGTGGCACCAAGCTGGGTTTATTATGGGATATCTGCAAACTGTGCTGGAATGATATCATTTCCTGTAAATGAGGTCTTCTATGTATCGTTCTGCCATCAAAAGTCCTTTGCTAGATTTCAGATCAAGTTTTACAAATATTGTGAAATATCTGAAGAAACACCACACAGAGCTTTCATTCTTTCAAAAACAACCGTAAGAACTAACTTCACTTTTCAAGTCTTCATTGTAAGTCCTTGCTGCTTTGATTTCTCATTTTGTCTAGCTTTACATTTAAAATTCTTTAACTTTAATCAAATTCTATAACATCACTCATTTGTATTTTCCCCATCCTCATTTCCACCCCGACCTTAGAATATTTAATGCTGTTGAAAAGCAACATTACTGCCTGGCATCCTCTTGCACTATCCAGTCCTCATGGTGTGCTCTTGGTAATTAGAAGATGCTTTAAAGAGGATGCAGACCGAATCCATGCCTTTATGCCTCTTAACCCAGGGTCTGGAACTGGGATTCTGTAGCTACCGGTGCAGCATCAACTGCAGAGAATTCTGGATGCACCAAGTGCCAAGCTTAGAAAGCATCCCAGGAGCAAATATAATCTCTCACACACAAACAATTGAGGGGAATAACTAATGCGCCAGAAAATGTATAATTGGTGGTTACGTTCCTATGGCAGTACTGACTGCCAGGTTTTCCCCTCCTGTTGTCCAGTGATATTTTGATTGCATAATGTATTTTTATAACTGTGTCACAAGTTTGGAAAGCGCCAATATTGATATGGATTGCATTTTATTTTTGCATGAAGAATATGTTCGTAAAGTGGAATATTATATTGCATGCACTGCAAATGGCACCAAGATATTCCACTAGGGCGTGTGAGTTGGAAATTCAATTTGCTTATCCTTTTCCCATGATATTCATATAGTAGCTGCTTCTGTATCATTAAGGGAAAGAGAGAACTCAGTATTTCTGAGGAAGGGGTTACTGCTATTCATGAAGTGGCCTGCCTTTGTGCTTAACAAGAAGTGCACTGTCATTACAGATTATTGCATCCCAATGGGATGCCTCAAAAGGTAGAGGGGAAAAGGTAAAAATTATAACCTTGCAAGCATTTGGGACCAGATTCTGAACCTGTTACTCAGGCTCAGCATTGATTCACTCCTCCAATACTCCCACTGATCTCAATGGGGCTACTGAGGGGAGGGGGGTAAGTGTGTACTTAATGTCAGGCTCCCCACTTCTGGCCCTTAATTAGCTATCTCCTTCTAACTTAATCATAGCTGTGTTTTTCATTCTGATCACTTCGTGGGTAATCCTTTTTTCATTGTAATTCAAAGCATCCCAACCAGGTTAGTGGGATCTGCATGTTAAAGGCGGGGGAGAGGAGTGGAGGGGAGAAACAAGATGAAAATAAACCAAACATAAGCAAAGCAAACTGCAATTTATAAGCTTAAAGTATGGCATGTTAAAAAGCAATCTACAGCTACTACAAATTAGCAGTTGCTAAAAACACTTCCTGTTTTAGGTGTTCTTTACCAATTGACCATACAGAAGAAATAAAATTAACAAGCAGCAATCGCATTCATATCATTGGTGTTGCTTGTTAGTGTTGATGCTTCAGTACACGTTGTTTGGTATAACAATATACAAGTCTTGAAACAAATTTCCCAGCAGTAGTATCCTTGTATAGACTGAATAAAGGTTATTTTCTACAGGGAGGTATCTTATAAGAAAAAACAGTAGGGGAGACCATAGAAGTGAGAGGATCCTATGGAGCTTTTTGTATTTAACAACAATCAATGGGTTTTATGGAAAATCATTGAGCAAAATGTGAGCTGCAAGCTCACTACCCCATACTGATGTTATTTATAACCTTAGTCTTAAACTGCAGGAAAAGTACACTTCCGTTCTATAGGGAATACATTAAAAGTATAAAGAGCAGATAAAAAGACAGAGCATTTCATGGATCACCAAGAACAAAATCCACTTAAATGAGCTTAGAGTTGGTTTCTTGGCTTTCACTGATGGAGGAGGACTATAAGGCATTGCCCAAGAGGAAAAAGCTGTTACCTAAGTGTGTTTGTTACCTCATGCATAAACATGGGATTAGTGTAACATACATACACATATACATGGTGTTTGCTTCTGACTACTTCACTTTAACTCCATCAAGACTGCATCATTTTTTTTCTTAAGATTAGAGCGGATTCTTACTCATTTTCTGTACATTTTTTTTAACACTTGGGTAATAAAAAGATGAACGCTCGGAAGTTTGCAAGATATCATGTACTAAATTTTTTCTCCCTTCTGTGTTGCCTAGGTAAATCATCATTAACATGTGAAGTGCAAACCACAATAATACAGGCTTTAACTTAGCAGGGATGCAGCCATGAAATATCTGTTCAGTAACCCTATCTGTAGAAAATGGCACAGTATGAAGAGGGTCAGCTGGTGCTTATACAGCATCAGCAGGGTCTCCTGCTCCACTACTGAATTAAGTCTCAATGCCAGGAACGTATTTATTGTTTCATACCTTCCGTTAAAAAAGGAAAAGACAAAAGTTGCTTTAGAGGTACACAGTAAGCACAGTTTATCTGCCAGATACCGACATTATTTGCTAGTCTAAGTAAGTAATGAATTCTAAGGACACATGATTAAAACACTCGTATACTCCAGAATAATAAATACAATTAAGAACAAAGAGAGGAGAATATAGCTTATTATGTAACTTGTTACCTGCAGATGGCAGACTGGCTATAGGCTGGGCCTTCTGTGGCACTTAGAGCTTGGCCAACTTGAGTCTGGGTCAGACCAAGAGACAGGCGCCGGATTTTAAAAGCTTTGGCAAATTCTCGGATTTCCTCCAAATTCACCCCATCCACCTCGCCAGTGGCTGTTTGAGGATCTGTTGAAATATTTTTTAAATTGTGTAAATGCTTCATACTATGTTTGAGCCGTCCAGAATTACTATATTTTCTTGGGAAGTGTAAAGTGGATTTTTTCCCTCTAACAGAGACAGATTGGTACTGTCAGAAGTTACAAAACATTCTTAATTATTTTCTTCACTAAAATGCTACCAAGTTTGCAGACCGAGGTATTTACAGTTCATTTCAAGGCAGTAGGGAAGATTTTCAAAGGCACAAATGGCAGGTAGGTGCCTCCACTGTAAGAACTTAAGAACATAAGAACGGCCATACTGGGTCAGACCAAAGGTCCATCTAGCCCAGAACAGGTAATCATCAAGTGAGCCATCCCCTGTCTCCCATTCTCAGCTTCTGGCAAACAGAGGCTAAGGACACCGTCCCTGCCCATACTGGCTAATAGCCATTGATGGACCTATCCTCCATGAACTTATCTAGTTCTTTTTTGAACCCTGCTATACTCTTGGCCTTCACAATAGGCTCTGGCAAGGAGTTCCATAGGTTGACTGTGCGTTGTGTGAAAAAATAATTCCTTTTGTTTTAAACCTGCTGCCTACTAATTTCATGTGGTGACCCCTAGTTCTTGTGTTATGAGAAGGAGTAAATCATAGAATCATAGAATATCAGGGTTGGAAGGGACCTCAGGAGGTCATCTAGTCCAACCCCCTGCTCAAAGCAGGACCAATCCCCAATTAAATCATCCCAGCCAGGGCTTTGTCAAGCCTGACCTTAAAAACTTCTAAGGAAGGAGATTCTACCACCTCCCTAGGTAACGCATTCCAGTGTTTCACCACCCTCCTAGTGAAAAAGTTTTTCCTAATATCCAACCTAAACCTCCCCCACTGCAACTTGATAACTAAATAACACTTCCTTATTACTTTCTCCACACCAGACATGATTTTATAGACCTCTATCATATCCCCCCTTAGGCGTCTCTTTTCCAAGCTGAAAAGTCCCTGTCCTATTAATTCCTTCTCATATGGAAACCGTTCCATACCCTTAAATATTTTTGTTGTCCTTTTCTGAACCTTTTCCAATTCCAATATCTCTTTTTGGAGATGGGGCGACCATCTGCACACAGTATTCAAGATGTGGGCATACCATGGATTTATATAGTGGCAATATGCTATTTTTTATCTTATTATCTATCCCTTTCTTAATGATTCCCAACATTCTGTTTCCTTTTTTGACTGCCGCTGCACAATGAGTGGATGTTTTCAGAGAACTATCCACAGTGACTCCAAGATCTCTTTCTTGAGTGGTAACAGCTAATTTAGACCCCATCATTTTATATGTATAGTTGGGATTATATTTTCCAGTGTGCATTACTTTGCATTTATCAACACTGAATTTCATCTTCATTTTTTTGTCCAGTCACCTAGTTTTGTGAGATCCTTTGTAGCTCTTCACAGTCTGCTTGGGACTTAACTATCTTGAGTAGTTTTGTATCATCTGCAAATTTTGCCACCTCACTGTTTACCCCTTTTCCCAGATCATTTATGACTATGTTGAATAGGGCTGGTTCCAGTACAGACCCCTCGGGGACACTACTGTTTACCGTTTTCCATTCTGAAAACTGACCATTTATTCCTACTCTTTGTTTCCTATCTTTTAACCAGTTACCAATCCATGATAGGACCTTCCCTCTTATCCCATGACAGATTACTTTGCTTAAGAGCTTTTAGTGAGGGACCTTGTCAAAGAATTTCTGAAAATCTAAGTACACTATATCCACTAGATCCCCCTTGTCTATACGCTTATTGACCCCATCAAAGAATTCTAAGATTGGTGAGGCATGATTTCCCTTTATAAAAACCATGTTGACTCTTCCCCAATATATTACATACATACGTCTGACAATTTTGTTCTTAGAAAAGTTTCTACAACTTTGCCCAGTACTGAAATCAGGCTTACCGGCCTGTAATTGCCAGGATCACCTCGGGAGCTCTTTTAAAAAATTGGCGTCACATTAGCCATCCTCCAGTCATTTAGTACAGAGGCTGATTTAAATGATAGGGTACAGACTACAGTTAGTAGTTTCACATTTGAGTTCCTTCAGAACTCTTTGGTGAATACCATCTGGTCCTGGTGACTTATTACTGTTTATTTTATCAATTTGTTCCCAAACCTCCTCTAACGACATCTCAATCTGTGACAGTTCCTCAGATTTGTCACCTACAAAGAATGGCTCAGGTTTGGGAATCTCCCTCACATCCTCAGCCATGATGCAAAGAATTCATTTAGTTCCTCTGCAATAGGCTTATCATCCTTGAGTGCTCCTTTAGCATCTCGATCGTCCAGTGGTTCTGATGTACTTAAAATTTTTTGCTACTACTTTTTGAATCAATGGGATTTAGATGCTTCATTACCATTCCTGCCTTTGAAAATCTCCTCCAGTTTCAACAAATAACGCTCACAATCTTCTCTGATTATCTTTGGCTGATTATCTTTGGAGCTTAAAATGTGCACAACTGATGAAAATGGGCTGAGTCTTTAAATTTGAAATTAAGACTTTTCTGCTTTAGCTGGAACAAATGCAAACAAACCAACCAAAGGAAAACCAAAAAAAACACTCAAGCCCATCCCATCCAAATATTTCTGTTTGAAACATCTTAATTTTGTAACCAGTGCTTCAAGCATGTCTTTGTGGGAAACATCCTTTCAGGGTTTACATTCTGCACCCATCACGTTGCCAACCAAGCAGCAGAGTATTTGCAACTTCAGCAATCGTGCTTTAGATGGTAGTGCTGCACAATATTTTACTTTTACATTAGACCCAGAAGATAATGCTTATGAAGCTGTGAGAATAAATTTGTCCTTTTTCTCCATAGCGGTTTACTGACACAGAAACCTTTGTCCCTGAAAGGGCACATAATAAAGGATGTCTACCATAGGAAGGCTCCTTTGGTGCTGGATAACTCGGTCAATTTAGGACTTATCAAGGGAAATGACACAACAGCTGGAGAATGAAACTTTCCCCCCCCAAGCTACTGATCCCTGGCTAAATGAAAGCATTCACCAAGCCGGAGACAGCATGGGACTAGGATGGTGGAAGATTTCAAAGTCTTGTTCAATCCTGCGTGTAGTGAAGGCATTCTCCCTGCGAGACATCTCTATTGTTCTTCACCTCATTCCTGAGACTTCTTAGGTGAAAAGTTTTCAGCACAATAACCCATCAATTTCTGTAAATGCAAGGACTGTGCTAGACTACATTACTGTGCTGAACACCACATTATAGTGGCTCCTGCTAGTACTGCTACAGTTAAGGACTTGTCAGTAACAAAGCTTTCATTTTCAGGGGTTTATAATTTGATGTAAAAATTCCCTTAGGATTGAAATGTCATCTAAAAAGTCTCTTAGATGAATGAGAGCAAAAGAGAGAGATTTTTAGCATATCAATTTAGCCTATGATGATTAGAAACCCTAAATAATTTTTATCAGAAACAATGCTATTTTTCTCTTCCACAGTTTCAAAATAGCTTGGATTTTAAATGAAATTGCAGAGGGTTATATCCCATACTGTGGGCTATTGTATGCATGTCTGTGTGCGCGTGTGTGTGTAGTGTTGAGCACTCAACCATGCAACTCCTGTTGAAGTCAGTGGAGACTGCATGTGCTCAGATAAATTAGGACTTATATGTAATCTATAATAGAAAGGAAAGAAAGGAGGGAATATATACACACACTATACCTTTGTGTGTGTGCATAATATATATGTATAAATTGTATGTTTTTATATATAGTTAGTGTGTGTAAATATAACTAAGATCATTCGGGTTTACAAAGTTTGATTGTTCACAGAAAGTAACTGTTACCCCATAAATGTTTGAAATATTCCTACTTTATGTACATACATGACTTACACACCACATTGGTTATTAATGGGGAAATTTTCAAAGACACAAATGGGAGTTGGGAGCCTAAGTGCCTTTTATGCCTTTCTAAATCTTTTCAGAAATGTATATAACCCCACTGACACAATACATTGTAAAGAGTCCCCTGAATAATCCAAAGGATACAAGGCATTAAGATGATGGCCTCCCCCATTTCTTTCCTTTCTTTGCTTTAGGATGCCCTAGGATGCTAGGGACAGACCAATGGACAAATCAGCCATTTCCAAAGTACTTTTAAATGTAGTTCTGAAAGCAGCAAACTCAGTATTAAGGGTATTTATAGCTATTGCTGGGAGTCGGTGGAAAGATTGAAGCCTGTTGGGAGGGAAAGGATAAAGGAGTAAGAAGCTAAGGCTTGTTTGTTTGTACATGATTATGGATGCTTTGCGTTGAGTTTTATTTCAACTGGACTCTTTTGTTATGGCAGGGTTGCCATAGTGGACTCCTCCTGTAGGTCATTTCCTGAACTGGGATCTTGGACTAGGGAAGAATTAGCCTGAACTCCTCCTTGGGCATGGAGATCAAAACCTATCATGCAAAACATGAACAGAGGAGGAAAATATCTGACACGCATGGTAGAGAATAGCTGGTATCTGTATTAGTGGAATGGCATGTTACTCTCATGTGATGTCTTTAGAATAGGGATTGTATTAGTAGACAGGGGTAGTACTGGAATACTTTCTTCCACCCCTGAACTTTGCAGAAAGTAGCTTTTGGATCAGATTTGATCAGATTTCTATTTAGAGTCTGATTCAAAGCCCACTGAAGTCTATGGCAAGACTCCTCTGACTTCAGTCAGACCCTTACTGCTCATATATGCAGAAAATTAGTTTTTGTATGATTCCTTTGACACAATCATCTATAATGGCTCAGGCCCATCTCACACTATTGCCAGGTTAGATTTTTCTTGCCATCTTTCTTGCTAAGTCTGTATTTTCCCTCCTGTTTTAATGCAAATTTCTCATTCTACATTGTAAAGAAGGTGGTTGATTTTTAAATCCAGCTGATAGCGTGGAGTAGATAGTATAATGCCAATGAGGAAAAAGGGGTATACGCCTGTCTTATGGAGTTGTCATGGTCAATAGTATCAGTGTTTAGATTAAAGCTCTACCATGGCTGCAGAGCTACCAGCTTCTGCTGAGAGGAGAAGGAGCCATTTGGGACCTCTACCGGGAGAGATGCATACTGGGAACCCCTCCACTTGAGGAGACAGAGAAGATACCACATGGAATTTCCTCTCTGGTGCTGGGGGCATTAATGGAGGAGGAGGCAAGAAAATCTGGTGTGAAACCAGGGGATTCAAAAACTCCTACAGATTCTTTCCTGTTCTCCTGCCTTGGAGAGCTTTCCTCCTTCTTCAGGGATGTCTCCTTCCAGTGTCAGCTCTGCAGGGATTAAGTAAGGCCTGGTATGCTTTTTCTCCTGCAGAATGAAAATCTGTTCCTATCTGTGTAGTAATGGACAAAAAACAGTGCAGAGGAAATAACACACCCTGAGGGAAGGTAGAACTCCTGGTGTGAGGAACACCAGCAAGAGGGAAGATGTGGGTGAGGACTTCCTCACTGTGGAAGACAGAATAGAGGGTAGCTGGTCAGGTAAGGACAACAGAAAGTAAATAGAGTAGGGAGAGGCAGGACAAGACAGTGCAGTTGGGAAACATGTGGGCTCACAGGAGAGGGGAAAAGGAAGAGAGAAATAGCTTTGTTGTAGTTTGTTTATTTGTGGGAAGTGCTCAGATACTATGGTGATGGGTGACCTGGATAGACAAAAAGAGAATGGGATTCAGGGAAAGATGGGTCCCATAGCGAGAGGAAGAGAGATATAGTATTCATAGCAATGTGTGGTGAGAAAGATCAAGAAATGCGGGGGAAGAAGAATTAGAGGTTAGGGAACTGGATGGGGAAGTAGGAGAAAAATGACCCTTAACATTTTTTCTTTGGGGGTATGTGAATAAGAAAGAAAGAAAGAAAGAAAACAAGTGGGGAGGAGTGAATTATCTGAGAGAAGAGTACACACACAGGATAAGAGAATAAGGGTAAGTACAGCATACCAGGAAAAGGAAAAAAAACAGAGTGAATCTTGCAGTCCTTGCTCAGGTCAAACTCTTATTTAAATTGATCATAGAATATCAGAGTTGGAAGGGACCTCAGGAGGTCATCTAGTCCAACCCCCTGCTCAAAGCAGGACCAATCCCCAATTTTTGCCCCAGATCCCTAAATGAGCCCCCTCAAGGATTGAGCTCACAACCCTGGGTTTAGCAGGCCAGTGCACAAACCACTGAGCTATCACTCTCCCCCCATGAACAGCTTGTCTGAATGAGGACTAACAACTGCAAGATCTGACCTTAAAAGCTAAAATTAAAATAAAAACCTTTAAAGGAAAAAGACAGTGGGAGAGAGAGAGAGGAAAAGAAAAAGGAAACACAAAAGGAAACATAAAAAGGTATCACAGAACATCATCGGAGATAATCTATAATAGAAAGGAAAGAAAGGAGGGGATTAGAGAAAATATACAGAAATTTAAAAAAGGCTGAAAGATTTTAGAAAACATATTGGGGGAAAACGGATGTAAAATCACAAAGAAAATATATACATAGAATGAAAAACAAACAGAAACAGACAACATGGAAAATGTATTTCACTGGAAGCTATGAAGGGCCAGATTCTGTTACCCTTACTCATGCTGAGTAGCACCTTAGTCCGTGGATTTCAGTAGGGCTACCTGTAAAGTAAGTTATGACTCAATGTGAGTAAGGATGGCAGAATCTTGCCCTAAGTAATTCATTAGATTACCACACAGATGTCACCCCTAAGTAACTTACCTCTTTTAAATAGACATGGGCACATGAATATTTGCAATGTTACTATTCTCACTAATTATACCTGAAATAAATACTGCAAATCCCTACTGAGGTAAAATTATGTAGGGCTGAATTGTAGCTCAAGACTAGACAGAGCTTTTAGAAAGTGGGTACATTACTGTCTCAGGAGCAGGACAGGGATCAAATTGTTGTTTAAAGGGCCACAATTCCTCCCTTGCTCCCCACATGAGGTACTGATTTACTGCTTGCCTGTTGGAGCAGTAAGGGACTGATCCTACTGAAGTCAATGTGAGGCTTTCAATTGACTTCAGTGGGCATTGGATCAGGTCCTCAATTATTACCCTTGGTGTACTATCTCAGCCATGCTGGCCAATGTATGGGTAGGGATGGAGCCAAGGCTTTGTTCATTCCTTGCCCACTCTTCTTCCATTTGCCCAAAATGGAGAGTAATTGGGCATACAGTGCCTCTGACCATTTATGGCTGGAATTCAAGGTCAAGGCAGCTCACACAGGTGAGTAAAGGGAAGCCTTACTGTCCGGTTACTCCCCTTTCCACACACAAATTAGTTCACACTCTCGGTCAACACACAAATTAGTCTTTAGTTATGTAAGGCAACTTTTTAAGGCATTTGTACATCTTTTCATATTTTCCTGATCTTGTCCCATTGAAGCTGTTGGGAGAAAATAAACCTCACTTTAAGCAATATCCAGAAACCAGCAGGCAGCCAGTGCATACCTTTGAGCACTGGTGTCATATGTTCCTGGAAAGATACACTACTTAAAAAGCAGGCTGATATATTCTGCACCAGCTTCAGTTTCTAGGTTGGCTAAAGGAACGAAGCACTTGCCATCCTGGATCAGATCCAAGATCCATCTAGTCAAGCATACTGTTCGATAGTGGCCAGAAACAGATGCTTCAAAGGAAGATGCATAAACCCCACAGTAGACAGATGTTGGGTAGTCCTCTCCTCATGTAGGTATCATTCTGATCACAGATAGTTAGAGACTGGCACAACATGAAATACCTTTTAGTTTTAAGAATGAGGATAGGTTGCCACTTTGTCCACGATTAGGGTAATCAATCAAGGGCTACTACAGTTTTTAGGACCATTTTTAGTGCTGGTTTGGATTTCTTAGGCCCCTTGAATCACAGCACTGAGCAATTCTTATTGGCAAAGATTACTCCAGTTAGCAATATACAGTCCATTATATGAATAAGAAGGAAAGGTAGATAAGGAAGATAAGCAAGAATGGAAACAAACAGATAGGAGAAAGAGAGAGCCAGGGCGCAATACTTACTGCTGACTAACTGGCCAACACTCAAAGCTGAAGAGGAGGAGGATGAGGAGGAAGAAGAGGAAGCCTGACGCACTGGGCTTTGAGACATAGATGCTTGACTGTGAGCCAAATGCAGAAGGTTGGACTGTGAGGCTGCTTGTCCCACTTGCGTCTGGGAGGGCTGATGGAGCTATATGTTAAAATGTAAGAATAAAAATTTATAAATGTACTAGTAATCAGAGACTTTCCCAAAGAAACTGTTGACTCTGAAGGCGCATATAATAACATGTGCAAAGTTAGATGACAAAGGGTTTACTGGGGCAGTTTGAGCTGCGTCAAACAACCACCCTTCCAATTTTGTTTAATATAATCAGATAATTTCTCTACTACTAAAAACTTCACAGGTTCTTTATATTTTTTTTATTGGAATGAGTATCAGAGAGATTCCTGCTACATCCAGCAAGACTCTGATTTTATCAGTATAAGCCCTCACCCTACAACCTGATCCATGAAGACAAGCCCTAATTCCCTATTTAATGTAGTCAATGTAGTTTCATGAAGGTGGAAGGGTCCTTTCAGAGTGGGACCATGGGACTATAAATAAAGGAATAGTCCATTTCGTGACACTAGCCAATGATTCAAAATTATTTGTAATGCCTTATTATTACTTAGTCCACAAACCTGTTCTTTCTTGGTAGCACCCTGTGACACTGCTGAAATCCATTCACGTACCATCAGGATTGGCATTTCTCTCTCTATTTTCCAATAGCTAAGATGTTCCTCAAATATGGCTAGATGCAATTCATATACCATGATACATTATGGATCTGACTCTGATCTTCCACCAACTTTACAATGGTATAACCCTGTTAACTTTAGTGGAGATACTTCTGATTTACACTGGAGGAAGCAAGAGGAGGATCAGACCCTTTCTCCTCATAAATGGACTCTTATGCAGGCCTGAAAAGCTAAAGACCATTGTCCAGGTATGCCGGAAGGAGGACAGGAGACACTGGATGTCATTCAATTAGGCTGCAACTTTATTCCTAAATGTCCAGGAGTACACAGCAGATAAAATTGTACAGTGCAGATAATTCCATAAACATTTACACGTGCCCAAGAGGGGAGGGCTGCTGTCTGTCTTCCCCCTTTACCCATCCTGGTTCCTACCCAGTTCACTGCTGGGACCTAATCCCCTCCTCAAATGAAGGTTAAGGGAGGTTATAAAGGAACAGGAGGGATGACTCCCGGACATACTGGTCATAAGAGCCCCGAGCCCCACTTCTTTCCACTCCTGTAAAGAATACCTTCTTTACCAATCCATTTTATCTGATCACCGTATCCCTTCCCTATGGAGTACTTGCACTAGACATCCACCCCAAGCTTACACAGTGAGCTGCAACATCATAATCTAACTCCCATTTCTTTTTTGCCCGAACTAAACCCCCACCCTGCTGTGGGGAAGGCGAATGCTCCCCCCATGTCGCTTTGCCTACCTGGGGCTGAGGGAAAAATTCCTTCCCATCCCTCTGAGAAAGGTGTGACTGGCATAATGCCCAAGTGGATCATGACAAAACCTGGTATTTAACTACCTCCACAGACAGGAGGGTGTATACTGCTCTGCCTGGTCCGGATAAAAGAGGTCTTTTTCTGTACCAGCGTAGACATATACAGTCCCCGCTTTTCTTCTGGTCACCAGGGGCAGGGATGGGTGAGCTTCCCCACGCTGACCTGGTATGGAAATGCCACTGCAAATCACTCCCTATCCCTTAAAGGGGAACACACCTTTTCCAACAAGCCAGACAGCACCACCACCGCTTAATGTTCAGTGAGGTCAGTCTGTCTCACTCATTTTACACAAAACTCCCTCAAATTCAAGGGGAGATCTTTACCAGGAATGAAGGTGGGATATATTATCCTATAATATAAAACAGCCTTACTATATCCTAATATTATAGATTTATTATAACCTGGCACAGCCTTATTAGACTACAGTAAAATATCATAATATATCATCTTAAGATAACAAGTCCTTATTATCACTTTATAACGTATTGATTCTTTCTGTAGGCCTAAAAGATTACAAAAATGAACAAAAAGGACTCATAAGTCATGCTAATTGTTAGCCCTGTGAGTCCTCACAGTGAGGAAATAAAGAACCACTTGGTGTTGTTGAGGAGGAATGAGTTACATTTGAATTTTTAAGGTGCATAAAGAAAATTATTGTTCGATTTTACTGAACAAGTAGCTTCACGTAAGAGGTCTGTTTGGCATCTTTAGTGGCACCCAAAATTAGGAGTACATTCCACATACACACAAAAAGACTGACGATAAACAGAGACACAATTAAAGTACCCAGAACAACTGATACCTGTTAGATGTATTTGTTCTAATTCAAGGTGGCTTACCACCTCCTTTGGAACACATATTTGCACATATCTTTTTTACTTTTAATGTACTTGTTCCTATTATAGAACAATTCAAAAATTGGGGGTTGGGGGAAAATCATGTTAATTTTTTAATAATTGATTTCATTTACTTGTATAAGTCAGTCTACCAGCTCTAGACGACTATGGTTTCCTTATGGATCGAAAAGCAAAATCATTTCACAGTCCTGAGGTTTAGTTAAACAATTGGATTTTCTCCAAAAAACTTCAAGCCCTATCAGAGTTATGCTGGCCAAGGATGTGACTGACATACTTGCAACTTTCAAAGATCTCGATACATCAAAAATACCCGTAAAGATTTTTTTTCAGTTGGGGAGGATTTTGCCTATGGGCAAAATGTCCATGGAAAACCCCCAACATAGCAGAACTACTGTGGTAATGCTGGGAGGTAGGGAAGGAGCTCAGGGAGGGAGCTGAATATGGCAGAGCTGGCCATTCCATCCCTTGTGCATAAGCCACATCAGAGCGGTGCTTTCAGGAGCAGTGCCTCTGAGTGGGTGGCTTCTCTTCCAGTCGCTGCAGAGAGGCTGGAGAATTACCCCATATCATATCCATGGGTAGAGGGTAGATTCCATCCTCTCTCCCTCCTGTATAGTTTCCTGCAACCCCCCTGTTTTAATGGTGTGATGGGTGGGCTGCAAATGTCATGCTTAAAGAACAATGATGGTGTTCTATGACATGAAATTGCATTAAAGTACTCTCTGTTTTCACCCACTATAATTTCCATTCCAGAAATAGGACTTAAAGAGAGGTGATGATTAGATTGTGAATAAGGCAGTTTGTTTAACTTTGACTTTTCCAGATGACACAATCAATTCAAGCTAATGCAAGCGTTGACATTTTTCCAGTTTTGGACATGTATGTAAGCCATGAGATATAGTTATGACTATTCTACATTTTCCATCCAAAGACAGAAGGGTATATAGAAATTGCAGCAGCTGTTGCTGTATGTGTCACTCTGTGTAGGTGGATATAGTGGGCACACAGAGAATAACTACTGTATGCAACACTGATCAGAATCTGGCAGGGATGCATGTTTGTGCTACAGCCACAGAAATAAGAAGAACATGAAAAACATCAAAATGGAGCATAATATTTTACAGAAATATGACTGCATTTTCACAAAAGTACATAAATGGAAAGGGCCAGATTATTATCTCTCTTCCCCCAGTTTTACATCAATGGAGTCAGTCCTGATTTATGCCAGCATAAGTGAGGACAGAATTATGCCCATAAAACTGAATTTTGTCACTCAAATGATTGTGTGTGATATTTTGCCACATCTGGGATTGTTGACTGTAAATATACAATAAGGCCCACAGGTGAAATTGGTGATCTTCTGACCTGCACCAGAAAGTTACAGGTCAATTGTGGAACATAAATTGCAGGACTGTGCTATGATTTTGCATAGACTATGAGAGGAGAAGAGTGAGAGAAGAGGAAATAAAGACCAAACTAGGGGAAATAGTCTGCTCCCAGACTGCACACAGAACTGAAATTGACTTTACTTGGAGTATGGACAAAGATCTAGGCAAAATATGGCCCTACAGAAAAGAGTGAAAGGCGAGGAACTCTGAGAGAAGAGGAAATAGACAACCAATCAAGAACAGAAAAGGATGAGAAAGGCAACAAGAATGAGGAAAAAGGACAGAGTAGGTGAGATTAACAGGAATGACAAGAATGGTATGAAACATTTAAAAATAAGACTTTGGTAATAAAAATAGAGGACTGTAGTTTTTCTGTTGTAAGTACTATTTTTTGAGAAATATAATTAAAACTGGTCAGAATTTCCCCCCCCCCTGGAAAATTTGACAAAAATGAAAACAAATTATTTTTTGTCAAAGTTTTCCATGGATAAATTGAATTTTTCTCACAAAATCAAAATATGAACTTTCTTGATTCTGAAATGTGCATGGGATGCCTCATGGGAGTTGTAGTTTGGGTGACTGATGTTCCCATTCCCCTCTATAGGCTGGATTCCCTGTTTAGACTACATATCCCATGATGCACCACAGCCTCTCCTCTTGGTGAGGGGAGATGGTGCATCATGACAGTGTCATGGATATAGCACATCATGAGAGATGAAGTCCAGCTCACAGAGGTGAATGGGAGCATAAGGCACCTGAAATGCAACTTCCATGAGGCAACATGGCAACACTTCAGAATTGAAATATTTCAGTTTTCTGTAAAAATATTTTGGGTTTCAGGCATCCAGTATTTTGATAAAAAATTGAAATTTTCAGTGGAAAGCAGACACTTTTTGTGAAGAATTTCATTTAGTCAAAAACCCAATTTTCCATTGAAAAATAGTTTCAATCAAAATTTTTTGACCAGCCTTAATAAATGTCTATCCCACATTCTCTACTATTAAAGATGTGTTCTATTTATCTTTCCTTTGGGCCTCAAAACTAGTGATACTGTAATGTTATTCCCTGCATAAACAGGCATGGCATTCAAAAACAATTTATTAATCTTGCAGTGCTCAGCAAAACGCACACCCTTACATGCTTGCACCTCACACCAAATCCCACTCACACTCAAACTCAAAGCAGGCACACTCAGACCTAACCACTGTACCCAAAGCCTAAATTTAGCATACACACACCAAGTACAAACACAAAGTCTCCCGTTCTATCCACCCTCAGAGGGTCCAGTCTTGCAAATAGATTTATACACACGGAGCTTCACTCCTATGTGGAGTTCTCCACAGGAGTAAGATTTTACACAAGTGGATCTGACTGCA